AGAAGATATATTGAGATAATATGACCATTAACCACGTACAATGAGCAGCTACACCTTAGTATCTAAATGACTTAATGAAGAATGCATTTTCACAATTTCATCTTATTCCTTGAAATGCTTTACCCGTCATGTTCTACTAATACTATAAGTTGCTGCGTAGAAATTCAATTAGTTTATTTTGGGCCATTACAAAAAAATGGGTTATTAATGTAGACAAATGCTCATCCTCCTTATACAGCTAATTTTATGTATATTATTACCAGAGAAAAGAAGAAGTCAGTCAGTCACTCAAGAGTGTCTGACAGTAAAATCTACAAAGTAAATGGGTTTCATTCGATTGAAAATTTCGACATGATCCCAACACCTGATTAAAAAACAAAGTACACCGTTTTTATAGCCCATAGTCTCATCTATGACATACCAGAATCTGGGAGAGAATAGAGCACAAATGAGTGACATAGTGCTGAAAGATGGATGTCATGTAGATTCATAATGTGAACGAAATTCACCGTCCGTAGACATAACACGCAAATTAAGAAAATTCTGACATGTGGCCTTTAATTGAATTTTGTACTATGATGACGTCATTAAAGTGAAATTTAGTGTGTATTGATCTTGTAGACAAATGCCTCAACTACAGTATATTAAATTGTAGAAGAAAATTGATGAATATTGAGAGAAATACACACATTTTTCCATAAATATAATGACGTCATAATATGCATTTTTGTTTTTTGACTTCCAAGGCCATTATGATGACGTTAAGATGTACTAATGGCCAAATGAGATATGAAATCGTACCTCCGACTCATACTCTATCTAATAATCTATCTCTATACTATATAAAACAAAAATTGGCAGTCCTCATTCATCCCACTGGACATTTTATAGGCATGTTTTTGCCCATATATGCTATGTATTGCAAAAATCGCGCGTACGGACGGTTATCTTGAACGGACGCTCATTCCGTTATTAATAGTGATAAAGAGCTAAACATGGTATCAAATTGTTCGGAAAAATATGAGGAATATTTTGTCAAAAGTTTTTTGCGGAGGAATTATTTTTCGTTCGGCCGTAACGAACAAAAACGTGCAAAAATGCGTGTTTTGCGTAATTTTTTTTAATGAAATGCTTATAATGGCCTGAAACGTATGCAAACAAATTTTTAAACGATTTTGAGCAATTTAAAATGTTACGCGCGCGTTAACGCGCGCACGTAAGCGTACGCGCATTTTTGCGCGCATTTATTGACCATTGACAAATATTGACCTTGATCGTGATAATTTTGAATGAGAAATGGCTTTCTGTTATGAAGATATGGTCATGAGTTGATTTTCACAAAATGGCACCTTGATGACGTCATGATGACCTTGAGTCACTGAAAAGTCACGCAGTTCTAAGTTAGACTGGGATCCATCAACATAGCAAGTTTCATGACAATGGGTTTATCCATTCTTGAGATTTCTTGCGAACAAATTCATGGCAGAATAATAAATAAAAATCTTGACGAAATCAAAAAGTGATACGTCTACGTACGTATCACCTAAAAAAATAAAAAATAAAATCTTGACGAAATCAATAGGTGATACGTAGACTTCGTACGTATCACCTAATAAATAAATAATACAAATCTTGACGAAATCAAAAGGTTATACGTATATTTCATACGTATCACCTAATAAATAAAAATCTTGACGAAATCAATAGGTGATACGTAGACTTCGTACGTATCACCTAAAAAGAGTTTTTAAGGCCTTTCTGAAGGTAATAACTTATGGAGACTGCCTGATTGTAAGTGGTAGATCATTCCAACATTTTGAAGCAGATACAGTAAATGTTCTATCACCGGCTTATGTGCGGGTAACTGAATATGTGAGACGGAGAGGATCACTGGCTGACCTCAATGCCCTGGCAGGTGTATATAAATTCAAACAGGTATGGAAATATTGTGGAGCTTGATTACTGAGTATTTTGTAGACAAACAAGAGTAATTCAAAAATTATTCTTTGTTTCAAAGGAAGCCAGTGTAATGAGTGGCTGAGATGGATGGTCCCTAGAAATCTGAAATATCAATCGGGCTGCCCAATTTTGTAGCCGTTGCACACGAATCAATTTAGTCGAGGGAATGGTAGAGAGAAGTCCATTACAATAATCAATACGAAATAGAACTAAAGAACGCACAGCATTATGACAGGCAGACTGATTCTAGCAATATTCCTTAAATAAAACGTAGCCATACTACAGATGTGAGAAATATGGTGAGACATAGACATGCAAGAATTAAATACAACGCCAAGGTTTCTTATTGGAGGGCTAATGAGTGTGCCACCAACATCCAACTGAACACCTGGAAGACTGCGCAGATTGTGAGCTGAAGTAGCAAAAAAAAAAATCAGTCTTTGAATCATTTAATTTTAACTTATTTATTTCCATCCATTGTCTAATATCTGAAATACAAATTTGAAGTTTGATAAGTGCGCTATCAAGAGCTCCTGGAGTCTTATGATTAAAGGAAAAATATAACTGTATGTCATCAGCATAAAGATGACAATTAATGCTATGATGTCGGACGATATCTCCAATAGGAAGAGTATAAATTGAGTATCCTATGGGTCCTACTATTGATCCCTGGGAGAGTCCAAATTCTATGGTTGTGAGGTTTGACAATTTGCCGGCTATGTCAAATTGGGAAGACCATCCAGAGAGGTATGACTGAAACCAGGACAAACTGTTGACCTAACACCTGTTCTTTTGAATAAACGGGATATAAATATTTGATGATCGCCGTATCGAATGCGGCTGATAGATCTAACAGTGCCATTAGAACTACCTGGTTTGAATCAAGAGCAAACATTATGTCGTTTTTTACTTTAATTAGAGCTGACTCGGTACTGTGACATGACCTATAAGCAGATTGAAAAGAATCAGAAACATAATTAGATTCAATGTGATGAACTAATTGTGTACATGCTGCTTTCTCGATGAGTTTACTTAAATACGTTAAGTTTGACACTGGTCTATAATTTCTAAGGTCATTTTGGTTCAAGCCTGGTTTCTTCAAAAGTGGTCTAATTATTGCTGAGTGTGCTCCGTTGGGGAAAGTACCTGTGGAAAGGGATTTATTGACTATGTTTGTAAGCAATGGTAATAAATGATCAGAGTTCTCTTTCAGTAGCCATGTTGAGATGGGATCAAGTCGACAGGATTTAGTAGCCGATGACATGATGATTCTGGACAAATCTGATTGTGTAAGCAACTGAAAATTTTCAAAAAGAGGAATGTTTTCATTTAGATTGTCACTAAACTGGGTATCAACAGGTACATTACAAGTATCTATTTCATATATCATCTTTCTTATCTTACCGACAAAAAATGAAGAATACTGATTAGCCAATCTGGATGCAGAATCATACAAGGGGAGTTGGCTGGACTTCTTATTTAAAAGAGAATGGATAATCTGATATACCTCCTTGACAGTACATGAACCCAACTTATCTTTCAAAAAATGTTCCTTAGCGATATCAATGACTTGACATACATTTTTATTAACCTTTATGAACAATTTGCGATCTGAGTCCAGTCTTGTTTTTCGCCATTTCAGTTCTGCTTTACGGCGATGTTGGCGTGCCACAAGCACAGGCTCGTTGAACCAAGGTCTACGTAAACGCCCGAAAATGTTGGCATTTTTGAAGAAACGGTCCCATTTTTAATGGTATTTTTTGGTTAAAAATGGGACCCATGTTTAGGGATTTTTGGGTGACAAAGTCACCTATTAGAGCGGCACATCCCCATGTCCTAATATGTGAGTACCACCCCCCCCCCGGGTGTTAATATCGTTAATGTAATGTAATGAGAGGGAATTTGAAGAATTTTGTAATATCAACCACGTAACGATTGTGAGTGATGGGAACAAATTATGGAAATATAGAGAGCTGTTTGTAAATGTTTTATCCTATTTCATCGCTGCTATGCGGGTCGCATTTCATTTATGAGATATTTTTATTATCACTTTTTCAATGCTCCGCGGGCCGCACCAGAAAAAGCTCGCGGGCCGCGGGTTGCGCATATTTTTTTTACACAACTGTTTAGCCATTTTCGCGAAAAAAATTCCAAGAAGTGCTCTGGTGAAAGAGTCTAAGTCGTCAGCGCACTATTATGTGCAAGCACGTACACCCAGGGAAGCCGGAAGATGATAGAACGGGGAAAACGAGGATAGCGGAGAGGATATGGAGTGGAGAAGGAAAAACAAGAAAATACATAAGGAAAGAGAAGAGGATAAGTCAAAGGAAGAACACATAAATACATAATTGAAGAGCTAAGAGGATCACAGATCTAGACTAAGGAAAAACAGGGAAATACATAAAGAAGGAGAAGTGAATCTATCAGATTAAAACAAAGGAATAGATGACGAAGGAGAAAAAGGATAGATTGAAGGAGAAACAAAGAAATACATAAAACAAAAAGAGAAGAGGTTAGAATAAAGGAGAACAAAAGAAATACATGGCGACGAAGGAGAACTGGGAATAGATTGAAGAAAAAACAAAGAAATATCGAAGGAGAAAAAGGATAAATTGAAGAAAAAAGAAGAAATAGGTCTACATGACAAAAGAGAAGAGGATAGATAGAAGGAGAACACAGAAATACATAATGAACACATTGAACATTATCCCAGTAATTTTCGATATTTCACTACTACAATGTGAGAGTCCCTTTTCAAAATTTCATCTAACTGTACGCCTAGGTATGTAAAAATACCGCGATGCGATTAAAATTCTTTACATCCCTATAGGAGCCAAGAATCATATTTTCAAAACTAAACGTTGATCGTTATTTCTTATTTAAATATATTTTACGCCAATTCGATAAATGATTCAATTACATACACTACCATGAAAAAGGCCAAAGAATGGCGAAAAATATACTCTTCCAAGTAAAGAGGAGAAATGAAAAATTCATCAGTCATTAAATAAGTAGAGAGAAAAAACAAACAAACATCTTACTTAATCCGACTGCTGCGCCGTGACACATTCCAATCCCAAATCCAAGGATGGACACACCGGTGTCCAAGTCCTCTGCGAGGTCGGAAATGAGCACGCCGAACGACTTGGCCGTACCGGTGTTGAAGAAGTTAACGATGGCTGCACCTACGATGATCATATACTTCCATCGTCCTGGCGATTCTCCGGGGCGAAGTACTTTCATGTTGGATGCGGTGTTCGAGAGGCAGTACTGGAAAGAAAGACACGCACGCCATGAAATACACCAGATTCTGGTCGCTATCATTAGTTTACCTTTGAGTGCGTGGGCGCGCGCGCTCACCCTACGGTTTCGCCGTTTCCCACTAACCCACCAAACCGAAGCTTTCAGATTATGTATGATTATCATTGCTAATACAGCATGGCAAGAGACAAGTACATGAAGAATAATATAGAACAAAAACATGCAAAGAGATAAGCAGCAAGCGGATCAGGGTGCGTTATTCTGTTGTACACAATAGGGACTTTTCGATTGAGTGGACGACAACAGCGTGAACGTCCACTGATCATGCTTGTATTCCACCCCTCATGCGTGTATGCATGAGGGGTGGAATAGAAGGGATGTCTTTCGGTTTTTTTCTAGTGTTTTTGTTTGATATTTTTCGGGGTAATTCTGTATTTTAAGGAGTTTAAGTAATGAAACAAAATAATGTTTTATTTAAAGGCACACTGCCCTACTTGTAGCTACTTGCTCCCTCTATATAGAAAACTTCCCAAATCGGTGCCTGTTGGTCCCCCATGATCCTCTTTTTCTTATGTTAAATGAGAGCTGAGTTAATGAGATAGCCACCTGTCACAGTGACCTCGCTGGCTCGCTGTGTGGTCTAATCCCTTCTAGCTGCAGTAGTAAAGCCTACCTTTAAAGATTATTATCATTTTTATGTACAAAGCATCGTTTTATTAAATACAACAACAACAACTAAGTATGACAATTTTTAATGTTGTTCTTCTGTTTACTGTTTTAAATGAAAAAGAAAATTTAAGAATTTATTTTGACTTGTAACTGATTTCATTTTTCAATGATTTAATTTGTAGGCCTATTGTCGATCTGCTCGGTGTGACTGCGGTGTTGAAGCGGCGTGGGATAACTACCTATTCCATTTCTATCATAATGGGGCTTGAAGAAAAAATAAATACCGTGTGAGTCAAAAAAAAGTTTACACCTAGAAAATTGCTAATTATTTGTAAAATCATCTATAAACAGTAAATTATTATACATCTTATGAAGGAGTGTTTATTCCCAAATCATTTGGTACCATTTTTGTGTGGTATGTGTTCACGCTTGGATGAACAGGAGGCATTGTTTGCGAGAGTGCAAAAATCGACTTGCGCCAAAGTGATGCCTTCAGTATGTATTATGTTGGGATTAGCGGAGTGAGAGAATGGATTGAATGTATCAAATGAAATGCATTGCATATGTTTTTTGTAAAGGGCAAAGCCACACACACCCACACACACGCGCAAAATTGTTCGTTGATATCTGATATTCGATATTTGATATGTGTGGCATGATTAATTTTGTTAGGGTTGTTATTTTGATCTGCAAAGACCGAATTAATACCCAAATCCCAATTGTTTTATTCAAACATCACACAGGCAACTTTGGCGCAATTCGATTTTTGCACTCTTGCAAACTGCTCGTATTACTTTTATTTGTACAGATGTCTTTCGCTTTTTGTCCGACTGTCGTAAATCTCTATACACTGTACATCAAGATGTTCATTCATTGTAAGTATATTTCTTCTATGATTTTTTTTATCGCCTCTTCACTCTAACTCCACCACTTCACAACTTGATTTCAGGAGCAATGCTTGTTATGAGTATTTACACTTCGAAAGAAAAAGAAAGAAAGAAAAAACAATTTCTTGTTTATAAGGGGGTACATGGCTACAGTGCGGAAGCAGGGGAGTAGATTTTATGGGGAAAATAAAAACACCATAATTTGTTTCTATTCCTTTCCCCCTTTTTTTGCAAATATAATATAAAACTGTTAAAAGATTGGGTGCAAAAATGCCTCTAAATAGGAGAAAAATGCAAAAACATAAGTCCTTTTAAATTCTATTCAAATGCCTCCAGATCATGAGCGAAATTCCCTTAAAACCAACATATTTTGTAACCTTCTTCTGCCCACTTTCCTACACACTAGGTATAGACGCCTAGTACTACAGGAAAGCTCAGCCGTCAATGTCCCCATCTATAAGATAACTTTTCCTTATTTGAAATCTTTATCCGCATAATCCTCAGGAATATAGAGTAAACTTTTTTTTTACAAGCCCCAAGTGGCTCATCCATTTTAAGCATTTGCGGTCAGCTGACCAGATTCCCTACTGCTTATTGGACAGTACTATAATGTATCCAGAATACAGCCACCTGTTTAAAGTGTTAACGAAAGAGGGCGTAGTCACTGATCTATGCACGGTGTGCTCTTTACTTTGAAAACCTCTGAGATTTCTTTGTCAATTATTGAAACAATGCCTTCAAGCAAAATGATGGACAAAACATGCATTTTGTAAAGGAAGGCATGAAAGAGACAAAAATATAGCTGGCTTTTATTGGAACAAAATGAAATCTGAGGAGCAAAGCAAATGTTTGCAGGTAGGTTTTCGGACCATCTATTATGCGGTGGTCACAACCCGCCGTACTTGCAAGTGCGTGCTGTCTACGTGCAAAAACGTGGGCAAAATTTGGGTATCCGTACGGGTGAGTAACGCCTCCGTACGGATTTGGGAGCAAGCAGACACGCCGTAGCACTTTTAGTGCACGTGCGACGTGCGTGCCCGTTACTGCCAAAGAGCGGACAACGACTGACTCTGTGCGTCTTTTAAATGTGTTTCCCACGGTCACTTGCTCTACGGAAGGCGCACTTAGCACGTGCGTGCTGCGCATGTGATAAGTGCGTGGTCCGTGCTTACTCGCCACTTTCCCAGTTCAACTGTCCAATGAGTACGCAGAACTCACGTGGACCGTACCGAGTAAGCACGTGCTACGCACTTACAACGCACGTTGTGCGCACTGATTTATGCAGTATAGTCTCTGCGGTGGAATGGGCGGTATCTTGAGGCAGCAGCAGCTGGGACTTCTGAAGAACATCGGAATGTCGTCCTATATAAACCCCGACATCGGGCGGAAAAACTCACGAAGTTCATCGAACGTGCACGCACTCACGTGCGAGTGAGTAAGGACACCGTACGTGAGCAGCATGTGTAAGTACGGCCTCTGTACGATACGTGGCAACCGCGTGGAGATCGTACGTCGAAGCATGTTGTAGCGGCACGTACAGCGCACTTACCACGTGCGCAACGTATACGTTGCACGCAACGGCTCACGGCCAGGCGTGGCGTGCGGTCCACGTACTACACCGTGCGTGTGACGTGCGTTGCCGGTACTCCCTCCCTGCCTTTGCCACTCCCTCCCTACGTTTTTAGAAAAACGTGGCGGCCGTGGCCTCCCCAAAAACCGTACGGACTAAAAACACGCACGGTGGGTTGTGACAAAGGCTACGGTCAGTCGTGACAAGGCGAGTATTTCTCCGTCTCTGTCCTGATAAAACTAAGCCATGTTCCTCAAATCCGTCTTTAGATATATATCCAGGATAGATAATGAAGTACTGAATACTTCAAAATCAGACAGAAAATTGGAGTATTTTAGGCAAAATTGACCCAGTTATACCGCTAGTTCTACCGATAGCAACATTTTAGTGTTAATTCTGATACTTTGATTCTGTGGCAGTTGATGAAGGTGTGTATATTTGAAAAATGTGTATGAGTACATATGGTTAGGCCTAAAATAAAAACTTGTTGTATTGCCCTTTGGGTGCTAAAACATGGGTCGGTCGATCGTAAAAGTTTGTTTAAAAAAAAAAAAAATTGTCGCCATCTTTGTTGGGCCGATATTTTTCAGATTTGAATGTTTTTTTTTTATTTCGTTTTTTTCCCGCACTCTTTTGGCTGGTATTTCTCAGTTTTTAATGATTTAATACATGTGTTTCAGCGTCATCAGTCCATTGATATCTTTTTCACCTCATAATTATCCATGATTTGGACGAGTAAAAATTTAGGAATAATTTGATTTTATGCATTTATACCCCATTTAAACAAACAAAATAAAAATTTTTTTTCATTCATTAATAATAAAAAAATGCCGACCGTAGATTTTCAGATTTTGGGGTCGGTCGCAAAGGGCAATACGACAAGTTTTTATTTTAGGCCTTATGAATGTGACATGCACCCACCAATTGTGTCCGCAGTAGTTATTTTGCTCGGGTTCGTAATGTTATGAACCAGAGCAAAATAAAACTGAGTTTCTATACTATTTATTCAGATGGTCATATCTCAGGCAATACTTAACACATTCAATTATTAGAGAAAGTAGACAATTCGTTGAACCGTGCTCGACTCTTAATCCTCGTATGAATTCAGTTTCTCCCTCTCTCACCCGCGCGAAGCGCGGAAGTTTTGACATTTCATTAATTTATTAAAGAAAGTAGACGATTCGTTGCACCGTTTTCGACTCTTATTAAGTCCTATTTATCTGAATTCAGTGTCCCCCTCTCGCGCGAAGCGCGGAAGCTTTGACGTTTCCTTAAATTATTAGAGAAAGCAGACGATTCGATGTACCGTTTTCGACTCTTAATAAGCCCTATTTATCTGAATTCAGTTCCCCCCTCTCGCGCGATGCGGGGAAGCCTTGACGTTTGATTTAATTATTATAGAAAGAAGACGATTCGTTGCACCGTTTTCGACTCTTATTAAGCCCTATTTATCTGAATTCAGTTTCCCCCTCTCGCGCGAAGCGCGGAAGCTTTGAAGTTTCCTTAAATTATTAGAGAAAGCAGACGATTGGGTGTACTGTTCTCGACGCCTAATCCTTGTCTGAATTCAGTTTCCCCCTTCCCGCGCGAAGCGCGAAAAGCTTCGACGTTTGATTTAATTATTATAGAAAGAAGACGATTCGTTGCACCGTTTTCGACTCTTATTAAGTCCTATTTATCTGAATTCAGTGTCCCCCTCTCGCGCGAAGCGCGGAAGCTTTGACGTTTCCTTAAATTATTAGAGAAAGCAGACGATTCGATGTACCGTTTTCGACTCTTAATAAGCCCTATTTATCTGAATTCAGTTCCCCCCTCTCGCGCGATGCGGGGAAGCCTTGACGTTTGATTTAATTATTATAGAAAGAAGACGATTCGTTGCACCGTTTTCGACTCTTATTAAGCCCTATTTATCTGAATTCAGTTTCCCCCTCTCGCGCGAAGCGCGGAAGCTTTGAAGTTTCCTTAAATTATTAGAGAAAGCAGACG